CCTTGCTGAAGTGATTTTACAAACGCTTCCATTAACTGTAGCGTGTGGCGACATATGTATTGATCCATTTCTTCAATTCGGTTTTACCGGGACTTGTAGATCCCATACGCTTTATTCAGCAATTTGCCAGCTATATGACGGCGGTGAGTTAGTGAGTGAGGGGGGAGTATGATTTTACTCCGCTTTTACCAAATATTCCGGCAATATCACAGCGGGGGACACAAGAAATGGGTTTCACACATTATGCCCATATGGGGAATCGAACTCGGGTCTTCAGCGTAACGAGCGGACGTTTTAACCACTAGGCTATCCCACCGCCTCATAGCGAGCCTGACCACCCGATCACCCGAGAGATGGCTGATGGAGATCGCGGGACAGGGGGGGTCAGGAGGGAAAGAGTGTGTTATCAAGCATGGGTTTTTCAAGTTTTCTCTTAAGTTGATCAATGGAAGCTTTGGAATGGTGATTGAACCGGACGTGTCGTCTACAAACTTACCAGGACATACAGATGTTTATTTTGAACGGTCTGTAAACGTTCTGGGACGATGTTTACCTTGCCTCTCAACAGTGTGAGTAGGGGTTCGCTTGCAAATACTTTCATGCGAGGTTCACCTGGCAAGTTGATAGGGGTGTGCTTTTCAGGGTCCTTTAAGGACGGTTCATGCTGCGAAGATCTTCTTTGTGACAGTAAGGGCATGGATGTGGACAGTTGCAATTGTGATGACCTGCATTCCCCCAACAGTAGCAGGTGTAGTTAGCGCATACCTAATACCACGTCCCTGTATGTTGACATGGACTATGTCCTCTGCGTCCACCATTTACTGACCTGGACGTCTGGGAGATCTGTTCGGATCTCCCAGACGTCCACCTTCCAGCGTTATATCATTTCCATCCAGGATATACTTTCCACTTGCAATCCCAATTATCACCTAAGCTGTTGGTGAGATATATGTACGTATGAGGATGATAGTGTTGTTTTATAGAAGGAAATGGTTTCGGTTGTATACTTTGTTTGGTGTTATATATTCAGCACCTATTGGGTCGGGTAAAGCATCTCGACTCCATATGTATACCTGTTTCTGGTCTTGAGATCTACCAAGTCCAAAGAGCACCGTGTACGGACGACGACAATCCTACCGCCCTTTACATTACCAAGTGAAAAACATAACCAGTTATATATGGGGATACCACCATTATGGATACCCTAGACGTCAGTAGATTCAATACATACACTTAAATGTGGGGTTAGACGTTACAATGCTATTGGCATAGACAGGGGAGTCATCCTTTGCAGTGGTGGCATTGCCATGCAGGACACAAGAGATCAGTTCCATCGTCCAGTTTTTCCCATGTGTCATATTGTCGCTAAACAGAGTTACACCTTCCTCACTTCTCCCTCATTTAATTGTAGGGTTGGGCCAATCACATGCCATCGATGTCACGACGTCACCATCTCACGCGCGACCATGACGTCATCGGCACCACGTCATAGGGGTTGAGGTTTGGTATCAATATCGCTAGATGGAAAACCAAGGTATGGAAGCTAGTACAACTAACCAACGGATCGACAAGGGAAAAAACATTAGAACGAACTGTGGAAGGGAACAGTGTCTTGGATGTAGTCCGGACCTAAGAAAAGTGTTGAGACCTGTCAACATAAGAGATAAGGAGGCCGAACAGCCTGCCGTGGATTCCTTCAGACGGTCCCACTACCTCCAGAACAGCATTATCCACAGACATACCACGTTCAAGTCTCCCAACCGAATAGAACATATGCACTAAAAGCAAATCCTTTCATTCGATTCGAATTTGTCCAAACTCCATTATGGAAACCCTAAACCTGTCCATTTGGGCCTTCTACACAGAGAGTGAACTCGATATAACTTCATTACCGGCCGACGGAGCGACGTAATATTCAATCAGTCAAAAAATCATAGTCAATCGCTCGTGTTATCAAACACATGACAAAACAACAACATCTAAATATTGAGAAGTAATGACGAAGGTATCTGTAACTGTCAGTCCATTATAATCAATGAATGCATATAATTACATATAATTAATTAGATTGAACAAACCTTAAAATAACGTTTACTCACAGAAATATCATATAAAATTATATATCTAGCATATAGAGCCCGCAGCAATGTTTACTTTCCAGTTGAGGAAATCCAGACCTGCCTGATCATTCAAAACCTCAGACGGATTCAATTTATTCTCTATGGTTTAAAAGAAAGACCAAACGAAGCTGTGAATTCTAAATGGGGATGTGGGATTTGCTCTTGTCTGTAAGTGTCTTAATGTTTGTTTGAAATGTTTAAGAATTCTTTTGAACTGAAATCAATTCTTTTTCAAATGTTTTTTCACGAATATCAATATTCGAAACGGGACTTCCCTTTTATCGCTACTTACAGTAAACTCTGATGTAAATGTTTGTTTTGTGTCAATGTAAATACTCATCACAGTGAAGTTTTTATTACTTGCCGTCATGCATTTCAAGACAGCAGAGAAATCATGTAAAGACGGGGTATGTAAACAGAAGGTGTGTGTGGCTCTTGTAGAGACTGACTATTCCATGTGATATCTGGTTGTAACAACTCCTCACTTCAGGTCTGCATGTATGTGTCTGGACGTGTGTGGGTGTTGGAGGTTTTGGTCTTGGGATTTGTGATTGTTGGATGTTTGGTGTTGAGGGACCAGGGATGGGTATACAGATGAATTGTGTTTAGTTGTTTGTTGGCAGGGTGTTGAGTGTTTATTGGATGTTGAGTGTTTGGAGGATGTTGATTGTTGGGTGTTTGATATTGGGTGTTGAATGATCAGGGATGAGTTGTGTTGATTGTGGTGGCTTGTTTGTTGATGTTGGGTGTTTGGAGGATGTTGATTGTTGGGTGTTTGGTATTGAGTGTTGAATGATCAGGGATGAGTTGTTGTTTGGTAGGCGGGCGTTGAGTGTGTTGTTGATGTTGAGTGTTTGGAGGATGTTGATTGTTGGGTGTTTGGTATTGGGTGTTGAATGATCAGGGATGAGTTGTGTTTTGGTGTTTGGTGGGCGGGCGTTGAGTGTGTTGTTGATGTTGAGTGTTTGGAGGATGTTGATTGTTGGGTGTTTGATATTGGGTGTTGAATGATCAGGGATGAGTTGTGTTTTGGTGTTTGGTGGGCGGGCGTTGAGTGTGTTGTTGATGTTGAGTGTTTGGAGGATGTTGATTGTTGGGTGTTTGGTATTGGGTGTTGAATGATCAGGGATGAGTTGTGTTTGGTGGGCGGGCGTTGAGTGTGTTGTTGATGTTGAGTGTTTGGAGGATGTTGATTGTTGGGTGTTTGGTATTGGGTGTTGAATGATCAGGGATGAGTTGTGTTTTGGTGTTTGGTGGGCGGACGTTGAGTGTGTTGTTGATGTTGAGTGTTTGGAGGATGTTGATTGTTGGGTGTTTGGTATTGGGTGTTGAATGATCAGGGATGAGTTGTGTTTGGTGGGCGGGCGTTGAGTGTGTTGTTGATGTTGAGTGTTTGGAGGATGTTGATTGTTGGGTGTTTGGTATTGGGTGTTGAATGATCAGGGATGAGTTGTGTTTTGGTGTTTGGTGGGCGGGCGTTGAGTGTGTTGTTGATGTTGAGTGTTTGGAGGATGTTGATTGTTGGGTGTTTGGTATTGGATGTTGAATGATCAGGGATGAGTTGTGTTTTGGTGTTTGGTGGGCGGACGTTGAGTGTGTTGTTGATGTTGAGTGTTTGGAGGATGTTGATTGTTGGGTGTTTGGTATTGGTCATTGGCCATTACTTCATTTCGTAATATTTTGTTTGATATTCCCAGAAAAAGATGCGGTTCAACTGAACTTTTTGACTATCGTGGAATAATTGTGTTGTTGTACTTCTGCGAAATTCACGGAACTTGGTGCCGTTTCACACGCGTAGGAAGCGACAATATTTGACCTCGGCTCTTCCATGGATGGTAAATGTAGAAATCATTGTTATGATTAAATATGACTATGGGCAATAAAACAATAAACTTCTCATGACGAGGATCAGTAGTTATAAGCACAGTCCAGTGATACGAAACTAAAAATACGAAACTAAAAATAATCACTCCTGCTTTGCCTGTTACTTCTGTTACTTAAGATTCATACATGTCATTATAACGTTTATCGCTATACAGGTTCATATAACGATACTTTGTGTTGACCTGTTGATTATGGCTGGGTGTATTGCATGTATATTTTTGTTCAAATTTTATTAGAAGTTTTCAACCTAAGAACCACTGTCTGTGCTTATTAACGTAGGTGTTACAAACCTGAGTTATCCGCCGTGAGCTCTCCAATGCTCGTGACATGCAAAATTGAATTCACTCGGACCGACAATTGGTCATTCCATATCAGTCGTAAATTATTGTCCAGATCTGTAGTGGTTATAGATTCAGCTGGAGACGTATGGGGACGACTCCTGCAACATCCACAGCTACAAAAACACCCACAACCACGTTCCCAAAGATGATCCAACTTGTTAACTTCATTGCTTCAAGATCCGTGCTTAAGAAATTTGTTGGTTGTGGTTTAACGCCGCACTCAGCAATATTCCAGCTATTTATAACTAGCGGTGGTCTGTAAATCATCTAGTCAGAACCACAGTATCCAGTGATTATTAGAGTGAGCATCGATCTACGCAGTTGAGATACCATGACATGTGTGAATTAAGTCTGGGATCCTGACCACCCAATCCCTTTAGTCGCCTCTTACGACAAGTATGGGGTACTGAAGACCAATTCTAACCCGAATCTTCACGGGTTTTAAGAAGTTCAAACTGGTGCCCATCATTTTCAGGTTTATTCCCAATGTTATATCAGCCTCCGACATTTTGCGCATACCCAGACCATTTTCACCGATGGGAAGTTGACATGTGTCCATGCACTTTAAATAAATGTGTACGCCTCTCTAGTTTTTGTTCCCGTTTTGCTGAAGTTACGTAGCTTGTCAAGATACAAAGTTTATGAGCATCAAGTATTGAGTATTTAAATATTTTAATATATAATTAAAAGCATAAACAAAAACTATGTTACAAATTGACACGTTTGTAACGCATACATTTACTTAATATACAAATATGATAATCATGGATATATCATCATGAACATCTGTGTAATGGTTATGTCTGTACCAGAAGCGACTAAAACAGAAACTCTATGACAGATTAATGATACGACATAATGATCGGTTTGGGCCGATATAGGTCAATATGAATCCAGTCAGAGTCATACTTATTATAATATGTTTCCAAGAAAACAGGATCTACACTCTAACAAAGTGACATGTCCGCAGGTCTTCTTGTGATAACAATGTCAGTAATGCAATCAGACCCTCTCAATCCCATATTGGCTCTTTAACCCGGATTGGCACTCCGGTATACCGTGCTTCTTGTACAATGCGGGCCAATTTGAGCGCACTACTATACAACAGCCGTTAATCGTGAGAAGAGAGGCAGTAACAATGACCTTCACTAATATTGATCGATTTCTCATTATTGATTCTCATAAAAGAAGTTGTACACCCGAAGGCCACAGAGGGTAAGTAAACACATGCGACATTACAGATAGTACAAGCTTTTGATCAAGGAGCAATTAGGTCTTTGATCAGCTACTCCCAAACAAGTGTAATCTAAATGGTAAAATGGTTCTATACAAAGGCATGGCATCGGAAGGCTGAAGGTTTCATATAATGTCCAAAGATTCAATGACAGGGTATGGGTAGTGCCATTGTAAGACTTTAATGGCAGAGCATCCAGGTTACCTGTATACTTAGTCTTTAAGTTACTAGGCAGGTTGTCCCAAAACATTTGGTGCCAGGTTACTCACGATGAGTTATTCTGTTTCCAAAGACAGTTCTATCCTGTATTCCTTCCTCTTTAGAGAAGTGTTTATTTCGAATATAGCCCTCAGGGGTCTGTGACACATAGACCACCCTTATGATAATCCTTTTGGACTCAGTTTCGGATAATCTTCAAATAATCCCCATATTCTTGCTGGGTTATGTCCTAATGTAATTCGTACTTTGGATTGAAGATCGTTCATATACCAATCTAAAGTGCTTCTATTTTGCAGTGAGCAACTATTTGTCACTATTCCTTACTTAATAAGGAGTAATGAGTCAATCGCAGTATTTGCTTTATAATTTTAGATATTTCTGTATTTTTATGAGCATCAGCGCTTGGGGAACATTCTGAATCTTAGTTCCCCACCACGTTCAATGGGAATGCGAGCACCTTCGCGATTGCCTCAAAACAGATGGTAAGTTCCTCTGCTCATTTCGGAAGGCACTGCTCTGATGGTTAATTACTGATCTAGGAAGTGAAGTACACCGTTCCTGAATACACCATTGCCGTAGTTACGTCATATCCACCACGTGGCTCTCCACACACGTCGTCACTGTTTCCGGTTTCTTTTCTAACGATGTCTGGTAGCACTGTAGGAGTTTTGTGACGACGTATTCAAGAAGGAGGGCCGTAACACCACAAGCCACACCGATAGCAACGAGGCACAACGCGTTAAGGAAGTTGCCGATAGTGATAGGTTTTCCTCCAAGAGTGAGTGAGGGGTTCTTCAGATAGCTCTCGTTCCCCCACTGTTCTTCCCATGTCTCCAGCAATCCAATCTCACTCATGGTCGCCATCCTGAAACACCGAGGATGTCCTCATGAACATATAACGCACCATTTAAGAAAAACGGTTTATGCAGCCCGAACATAACAGGTTTCGTTCGACAAGCAATTCTTAGAAGTTACCTGAGAATAATGTAAACGAAAGATTATGGATAATAACTTTTCTTAAACTGTCTGAGTTTATTTTAGTGTAAAGGTAAAAGGCCAAAAATACATTCATTACAAATAATTTTATAGCATGCGAATGCTTCATAACAGGAATGTTTATTATGTACATTGCTAAGTAAATGTCGTCATTGACACTAACTGCCACCTGTCTGCTCACGTTAAAAGTACATTTCACTGGAAAGGACAATCAACTCGAGAACAAGTCAATCACTCTCTTCAAATCTGGAAATACCGATTGAGAATTTTGGTGCTGAAATACTATAACTGATATCACATTAAAGACACATAAAGTCCTTGACCTCGTGGACATATATGCTTTAATATCAAAGTCTGGTTACTTTCAAAAGTAATCTGAAAAAAAAATCATAATTGGATAAGCAGGTGTTGTTTGGCTCTGAAATGTAAGCTGTGTTTTAATTTGTTGTGACATTATCAAACACAGAAGCCCATATAACCTGATACTTTGCTACGTTGTCATGTTTCATTGTATCTGAATGTAGAGCCTCCAGAATCACGACTCTAAAGTCTGGCTATTCGATATCTACAAACACCATGTTCTTCACATCTTTGGTCTTGGGGGTATTCTGTACATCGATTCAGGGACAAGAGTGATGAAACCAGACGCTTGTGATGCACAGAAAAAGAATTAATACGAAAGTAACAGTATTTATGAAATTTAATATCTGCGAGAAAATAATATAGGGTGATAATATGAATCAGTGTTTTGTTACAGTCAGTCAGCTCCCGGGGTGTAAAAATGAAAACTGGCATTAATCTCTAACTGGGAACGAGAAAGATCAGATTACTTCAACAAACTTTGAATAAATAAATTTACACTGATACACTGCCAGGTGACTTAACATATATGTTTAGAAAATGAAAAAGAGTGTTTTCTTATGTGTATCAAAGCTTAATGATAATCCTTTATCACTAATTCCAGTAGTTATGTATCCATGTAATGACAAAGGATCGTGGAATATAAGCTTCCTTAAAGGATTATCCTCAGTTGATATTCCGCACCCATTCCGGTAGGGGACACATGTTGTGTTAACGGTGTTCTTCAGTGGGTAGACTAACGCTTAGTCTCTGAGGGGCGGTGGGGTAGCCTAGTGGTTAAAGCGTTCGCTCGTCACGTCGAAGACCCGGATACAATGTGTGAAGCCCATTTCTGGTGTCCCCGCCGTGATATTGCTGGAATATTGCTAAAAGCGGCGTAAAACCATACTCACTCACTCACTTAGTCTGAATATACATGTATATAATTTTGATTGTGACAATTAAACCCATCTACATTGAAAAGGAGCCCCAGGCAGATCTGAACCTGGGGAATTCTCGATTTGCTTCAATTAGGACTTTAGCAGTGCGGGGAGGGCCTGGCTGGAAAAAAATATGGTTCAGGGACTCTGAGACAGACTACAGCGGGGTACTCACACTCTCTGGAAGTCTGGCAGGAAGGGGGAGCGCGGGGGGACGGCCAGAGCCACGTGGGTGGAGTACAGCTTCTCCCCGACTATACGGAGATCTAGCGGCTTGGACACAGACTGCATGTACTCCAGCGTGGCCCGGCTGGAGATGAGGGCATACTTCTCCGTCTGGACCTTGCGGAGCTGTACATTGATATCTCGGCTGAAGACGCTCGGGTCTGACTGCGCGAACTTCCGGACACCGTTAATGGCCTTCTGGAACTCTGGGCGAGTCGAGTTCTGGTAGGAAACAAGACACATGTATGGTAGAAACGTGAACTGATGTCATGTAAATGGATGGAAACAAAATATGCACATAACCTTCAAATGCATAATAAATCAATCCGATGTATTTCCGGAAACCAAATGCATGACTACGAGTTACCTATGTCATTGGTCCCTTTCCTCCATTAACTGGTGTAAATGTCCAGTCGAAAATGGTGTAATTGTCCCGCTTTAGATACCAGTCTCAGCTATGAGGGGGTCAAACGAACAGGGATAGGGACACACCAGGTCCTTGTTTTTTCCTCTGTATACCCAACCCCAGGCAGAGTAACAACAAGTAACATCTTTCAACGTCTTTTTTTAATTAGTGTTTTCAAAAACTATGCATATTTTGTAATACCATCATGAAAGCTGTACAATCTTCTATGTAAACCATCCAACCATCCTATGTCCTCTTAATTGTATATTTGTACCTCTTATACCGAGTATGCCGACCTGAGCGTAATAAAAGTTCTGTTCTGAATCGGGAATCGAACTACCTTCGCCCTCCAGGTAGACATAGTATCTACCAGACAACAGAGGATTCTCAAATATTTTGTGAAAATATGGGTTTAAACTCCTTCTGCACTTAGGTGAATGCATGACACGTTTATATGGATAACAACTTCTTTTTATTCTTTATACGACATGTCAGAGCTTCACCTGATGAAGGAGCAAGAATTAGCTCTGAAACGTCGTATAAAGAATACAAAGTTGTTGTCAATAAAAACGTGTCATGTATTCATGTTCATCCAACTTACAAGAACTCCTTCACTTACGGTTAATATAAGCATAGCAATAGACCCGTCAAACATTCCCCAGCGATATTCCTCATTTTCAACGAGTTCGGCCAACGACTTGAACGGGACTGTTTCCTCCTTCACGGCGAAGGATACGATGAGAGTGGCGCTATAGGTGGCGGCGATCACGATACAGAAGAGCCACCACGTCGACAGGAGGACCCGGCCAGTACAAGACCCAGGTTCCTGGGTTCCACCTAGCAGGATAAACCAGGAACTTAAAAATATAACCTGGTTTGAATATTGCCGGGTTCGATTTTTGAGAAATGTACTTATTTTTTTCATATTGTAAGAATAACGGAGGTCAAAACATGTACATGTGTACCTATATTTTCTTTGCTTATTATCACAAGCAATAACCATAACTGATAACTGTCCCATCACACCACTGACTGGGTTTTGGTTTTACGCCGCTTTTAGCAATATTCCATATCACGGCGGGGGACACCAGAAATGGGCTTCACACATTGTACCCATGTGGGGATTCGAACCCGGGTCTTCGGCGTGACAAGCCAACGCTTTAACCATTAGGCTACCCCACCGCCCCCCATCACACCAACCTCTACCTCCCTAAAAGGAATACTCTATAGGATATTGAAGTATTTATTGCAGTCGAATTCGAATTCTTTTTGATCACACCAATGTAGTTGTTTGTTTTCTTTCCATCATTATATTTATATATACTTTTATGTATCAACGTTTTGATTATTTCATATTTTATGGGATATGGAATCGGGAGTACAGTTTATGTAGTTTTACGGTAAATATATGTTAAGGTACTAATAACAGTTGTAGACAATTCTGATGAGGAATGACCTTGCATAAGCACAGATCCAAGAAGGTACCAGATGGTCTTCCACGATAAATCTAGAGGACTCTGTCTCTCCGTTGTCCCACTGTAATAAGGGTTGAGTCTCTCTGTGACAGCAACCATCAACATGACAAAGATTAGAGCTGCTGCAATACACAACACTACGAGAGGGCTGAATGGACGAGCTAGGTTCTTCCAGCTGAAGTCTTCCGTCTTCCACTTCCGGTACACGATGTCAGTCACTTCCGTTCCAAAGGCCGGAAGTACGAAATCGACGACCTGGTCCCTCTGATAGTGGATCGTGACGTCAGCTAGCGCCAAGTCAGCTTCCTGAGAGATGGGAAAACACAAGAATGGAGCGTATTTTGTTTCAGTGGTTGTGTTAAAGAAGTTTGAACTGTCTGGTTTAACTCTTAGATAGAACTAGTCTCATATCTGCAATGATGTTGATAGCAGGAGAGAATACACATAAACAATATTCACCCGTCGTTGCAGTTCCCCGACCATTCCAATCCACGAGCCATTTTCTACAGTGCCCCAAGTCTTGTCTTTATTCTCAAACAGCGTGTACCTGTACAGACAATACATGGTTCCACTTGGTGGTGGGTCAAGTCGTACACATACAGTACACATACCATGAACTTGTACAGGTGGTAGGTAAAAACTGACACACATTTATCTCTGTGTGTGTGTGTGTGTGTGTGTGTGTGTGTGTGTGTGTGTGTGTGTGTGTGTGTGTGTGTGTGTGTGTGTGTGTGTGTGTGTGTGTGTGTGTGTGTGTGTGTGTGTGTGTGTGTGTGTGTGTGTGTGTGTGTGTGTGTGTGTGTGTGTGTGTGTGTGCGTACAATATTACCAGTTAACAACAAAGACACGGAGGCGGTAAGAAACAATATCCACATTCAGGTGGTAGATAATAACACTCATCATTAAACAAAGTGTTTACTTATGACCTGACCTTATGACATACTATGTTTGTCATGCCCAAGTGACATAAGTATGTACCAAAGGCTGTAGCGAGTGAATATGGTTTTACGCCGCTTATAACAATATTCTAGCAATCACGGCGGGTGACACCAGAAATTGGCTTCACATATTGTACCCATGTGGGGAATCGAACCCGGGTCTTCGGCCGGACGAGCGGACACTTTAACCACTAGGTTTCCCCACGGCCCCCAAATGTTGTACCTGTACACACTCAACTGTAACAAAGCATATTCATGGATGTTACGTGTAACATCGAACTCATACTAGCGGTAGGAAACATTGTACACACAAACGTGAATGACACACATAAAGGTAACAAGTACAAACACCTGTAGTGGGTGATAATCAACACAGATAACAGGAAGCAGGGGAAAACCTCAGGTATTTGGTCACCATAATTTCTCAGGTGAGACATAACACTGTACACACAGGTGGTTTATTGATTGGCATAATGGATTGAGACATACTGAATATCTATTTGTATGGAAACCAAATACAATTATGGTCACATATTGATCAGGATGTGCGCAGTTGATTTACCAAGGAAACCTAGATATACGTTGAAAGTGCAAGTGTACCATAGCCTTCCATTAAGAGATCTGTCGTATTCAGGCATAGAGAAAACACTATTTCTTAACGGTTTCTTTCGTGATGGGATGTATTCTATACAATTTTCTATAAAAAAAAAAAAAAAAATAGGATACGCAATATAACCGGTTTACCGGTATTTAGCGGTTCAGATATGAAAACGATACGTATTGCGATATGCTGATCGAAAACCGGTATTTTGACATGCGTTCGGAAAACGTCGTAACCCTCGGAAATCTTCTGATATTTCCTTGTTTCATTTGTGCCAAATATTCTTCACATTTTTATTTTATCATGATTAAAATTTGTTATTAAAGCTCTATAAATCAAGCAGTAACTCGATTATAAGTAGTTTTTTGTTTTAAAATACTTCATGCAATATATTGCAATGCATATCGCAATACATGCTTTCGCATCGCAATATATCGCAATATGACTATTCTCTGCAATACCCACCCCTACCCAAAAACAACATCATTCAACAGAACAACGAGGTACTAATTTCGACGAACATGTGGTATTAACTTTCGATAATAACAATGGTAAATGTTAGGCACCCAGATATTAATGACTTTAACTGACATACAGTGGTTCTTGAGCTTTCCACCAACGCTTCAGCAAGAAGTCCCAAGCAAGACTGTTACAGGTTGCAGTTCGAGAGTCATGTTTGCAGTGTGAATCAATGTTTGTGGGCAAGTAAAAACACTCACGTGAAGTTGAGGGCCTCTTGTAGCACCTTGAGCATTTCAATACACATACCCTGGTACCTGGTCACGTTCCCATCGTCAACACGTTCCATGAAGCCCGGCCACTGTCCAGACAGAATAAACAAGAGTGTCATGAGTGGCCATGGGCCGATATCGGACAACACAAGTTCTTTTGGGTTAAACTTTAAACATCACTTTTATTTGCAGTGTCGGATTGTCGAACCCAGCCTCACATTTTCTTATAACGGTTTCTGAGGTGATGTGGACATCCATACTGACATTTGTATTTCCTAATATACTACTCACACTTCGCTAAGTATCACAAAAAATCGCAACTTTACTTAAACGTAGATTAATAATTTGAAATTGTATCCATTTAAAATTGGATAAATAATAATATGGTAACCCATCTTTAGGCAAACAGTCACTTTAATCTAACATTGTGCACTTGATACATGAGTAACCATAAAAATGGTTTTCATGGCATCAATCAACCATTTTCAAAATCATGAAACGAGTGACTGACAAGTACACAACACCTGTCAGTAGCAGGTATGGGATCCACAAATTTGACCCCACATCATAGTTTTCTCTTGAATCCATGATTTGATCCTTAGCAAAGTGTGAATAGTATATAGTTTGTTCTGGGTTGCTGTTTACTCTACTAGTATACTATAGTATACTATACGATATTTTGTTAAGGGCTGTCTTTATTGTTTAACCAGTGAAACATTGTTTGTGAAAAATGTTATGGTGCCTATGGAAAAGTGTTATTTACAGTAACCCTTATGCAGTATATGAATACCAACGCTCCAACACTGCATGCAAGTTGGTGTTCGAACAGAGTTTGACATTGCTTAAATAGCGTTATATATCTGTTCGACTTCAGGTGTCCAGCTTAGAATTCAGCTGAACAACTCCTCCAAACACACACACGACCACATCGCCATTCAAACCTATGCTTCGTGATAGGCATGATATTTGAATCTCGTCTAATGTACAGGTGTAGAATATGTATTACAAATTGGATGCCGTTTTTCTGATTAAATGCCTTTATTAAATGTCAAAATAAATGGAATGTAAGTATATCCCGTTTGACTTCATTCACAATTAATTGTATCAGGGTTCACAAAAGTAGTTCCGTTTGGTTGACAATGGCTGGGTCGATTTTCAATTTTGATCAAAAGTGTATACTCGGGAGGTAAATCACTCGGCATATTGATATACAAATTCTTATGCATAAATGGTAAGTGATTTACTTCGTGAGTAAACATTTCCGAAAACATATGAAAATCGATGTGGTAATTGTCAACAGAACAGAACTCGAATCAATGCTCATTCAAGGATAATCCATACTACTCGTCAGTAATGGCTACAAATAACTGGAAAGTGGAGTCTTGCAAGAGATATGTAAACCTGGAAGCTAGAGATCTCGACAACCGGAACGATCGTGTAAATACGTCCAAGGATGTGTCTGTTGACATTACTTGGCTAGGGAAGGTCACAGGTAACACTTACTGGGCCGGGAACGGTGTGATGGTTGAGACCCCGATCTGTGTTAGCATACTTTATGGACATTGCCTTTGAGTGGGTAGCGTGTACAAAACTGTGTGAAAAAATATTGATTCTTCCAGGTGTGGCATTTACAGCGTTTGGTTTGTACTATTTCGGTGTTAATAACTGCACCAAACACATATTTACTTAGATGACAATGCGTGATGGTATCGTTACTCGACTTTATCGGCGGGCCTCTATGAAAGGAGATTGATGTTACAGTTGACAACAGACAATACCTAAGGCGGTCAAGGACAAGATAAAATAGCGAAGAGTTCAGTAGTTTGTGGTTGGCGGTAAGTGATGCAAGGGTCCTTTGATGATACCATATACAACAGAAGCTTCAAAATCCTTTCCACATACGTAAGAAATCACTGCTCAAAAGCAGAGCCCATTGTACCATTCTAACTGTATCATGAGTAAGTGTTTGCTTGTAAGAACTCGCATTCAGAAATGTTACAGCTGTATGACGGCGGATTGTAAACAATCGAGTTTGGACCAGACAATCCAGTGATTGACATAAGACGTCAATGCCTGAGAATAACCAGGCCCGGTTACCCTCTGTAATAATAATAATAATAATAATAATAATAATAATAATAATAACCAGGGCCTGATGATGTACGCCTCTCCGTGGTGGGCCTAGATAAGGGAATTATATTCCCTGAACTAAACGTACATCACCCAGTTAGGGCTGACCCCCCGAAGCTGGTTTTTCACTGGGTTACCGAAAAACAAGGAGCAAACCATCTTTTAACTCCGCAGCCCAGTCAGCCTTCCTCCGGTAGTGAAACCAACCACACTGGAGATGGGACTTGCCCCAGGGGAAGGCACAGAACCCGGCCAAGAATATCTTGGTCAAACCACCTTAAAACCACACGACTTGAGTGTGCGAGAGCGACAGGATGGCCTGAAAATCCACGTATCAATGGCAAGTCGCTGAAGCTGCATTGGGACAATGCCATGCCCATGTATGCTTACCTGACGGAGCAAAATCTTCGAGATCAATTCCGGCGGCTTAAAAATCTCATGCCCCGTGAGCCAGTTCAACCCACAACTGATGCCCGTCAGGAACCTTTGCATGAGCAGAATGCTCAAGTGGCAGCAGACCCAAAACTTATAATGGACGTCCGTGTCAACCTCTTTCCTCTTGCTGATGGCAACTCTTCCGAGTAGAGCCAATTGGCCCCGAAATTTCAGACCCTCACTCTTCCTCTTCTTCAGTTGCAGATCTTTCCGAAAATCCTGTCTATATTTTGTTTCATTCTATTTATGATGAAATATCTGGCATACCTTTAGAAAAACGGAGGCCAATTAAACAAACAAATGAATCTTTTCCCAAAACTGAAATCAATTTATTAAATGATATTATTTCTATGAAACTTTCATCGGACTGTTCATTACATGAAGTTAATTGTTGTGTCTACGCTGCCGCTCGAACCTTGGAGGAAATTCACACAGTTTCCAAAGAAAAAACATCTAATACTAAAAACAATACACCAAAGAAAAACCGGTTTCAAGTAAAACTAACGGAAACGAGAAAATACATTTCCTGGATAGAGCTGTGCCTGAAACTAAGATCATCAGGGAGTCCAATGTCAAAACGGCAAAAGACAATTTGGAGAAAATTAAAATTGCAGTACAAGACAACAAAAGAAAAGGTACTTCTCCAAATTGTCGATTCCCTTAAGGCAAAAATAAAAGTTTGGACTGAAAGAAAGAAAAAATGGGAAAAGAAAAATAAATTCATCAAACAAAATAAACTTTTTAGAAATAATGAAAAACACTTCTACAGGCAACTTAAAACAAACGGTGATGGTGAACATGATAAACGGCCTTCTATGAATGCCAATGAAAGGTTCTGGAAACAGTTGTGGTCTATACCCGGCGACTGTAACCTGGAGGCACCATGGGTCCGTGATTATGACCATGCAATGCATGAGAAAGTAACTAGGTCGTTTGTCTGTTACATCTCACCAGATTGCCTGAAAAGTGTCATCAAAAAGTCCAAATCTAATACAGCTCCAGGGCCTGATGGCATTCGAAACCGGTATTGGAAACTGTTCCCCTGTGTCCAAACACCATTACTTCACTGTTTCAATTCTCTTGTGGACACAGGTGATGTTCCTCCATGGTTCTGCAAAGGTCGCACAATACTCCTTCCCAAGAAAGGAGACTTGACTGATCCCAAAAACTTCCGCCCTATCACATGTTTGAATACACAATACAAAATATTCACAGGGTGTTTGACAAAGCTCGTGTCATCTTACTGCTCTTCCAATGATATAATTTACAGAGAGCAGAAGGGGGGCGAGAAAGGGATGTTGGGGGTGCAAGGATCAACTTCTTGTACAAAAAATGATTTTGGAAGAGGCTAAAGCATATCACCGCAACCTCTCCATGTGCTGGATTGACTACAAGAAAGCATACGACTCTGTTCCTCACGAATGGATTCTGAAGTCTCTTCATTGTATTGACCTCCCTGAGCGACTACTTGATTTACTCAAGTCTTTAATGAGTTGCTGGTCGACTCAACTTGAGATGTACTCGCAAGGGCAGGTGCAGACTTCGGAATCTATTCCAATCAGAAGGGGGATTTTCCAGGGGGACTCCTTTAGTCCTTTGCTTTTTTGTTTGTCTCTAAATCCTTTGAGCTTTCTGCTCAATAAAGAGGAGGGTTACCATCCCGGACCTCCTCAGCACAGATCCCCAACACCTCTTACTCATCTCCTTTACATGGATGACATCGAGCTCCTTGCCAAAGGAGATTCCAATTTGAAAGAACAGGTTCTCCTTGTCGAGTCCTTTTCGAATGATATTGGCATGACATTTGGACTCGACAAATGTAATACTCTTCATTTGAAACGTGGCAAGGTAACTAATGATGGATCGGTCAAGTTACAAGGGGGGAGGAGTTATTGAGCATCTTGTGGAAGATCAGGCCTACACCTATCTTGGAATGCAAGTTCGAGACAAGCTCCAGAATGCCCAGATTCAAGACAAACTTCGGGCTGAGTACAAATCTCGCTTAAAGAAAATCTGGAGCTCAGAGCTAAATGCTCGAAACAAGGTCAAAGCTACCAATACATTTGCTGTGCCAGTCCTTTCCTATTCCTTTGGAGTAGTTGATTGGACAAAACAAAACATCCAGAGTCTTGACCGTCTGACCAGAAGGATCATGTCTGATAACAGAGCCCACCACCCTCGTTCCTCTCTTAACCGTTTATACATGCCAATCAATTCTGGAGGTCGGGGTTTGATTAATGTGGAGGCTCTTCATGATAGAATTTTATTGTGTACTTTTGCACATATTTATTTATCAGATGATCCTCTGGTGATGCATGTGAAGACTCATGATGAAAGCAAGGAATTCCACAGCTATTTTAAGCGTGCCAAGGTTGTTGGACAGAATCTGAAATTTGAGGTAGATTTTGTTGATGGCGATGTACTGCTGGACGGTACAGCGATGGGAGTAAACCAGGTGAAGTTCTTTACCAAGTCTGCCCAGAGTCGGTCTTTTGTGGAGAAGCTTTCTGAGAAGCCATTGCATCGTGTGTACATGCAGTGTGTTGAACAGAATAGCAATCCCACCGACTCCTTCGCCTGGATGAAGTCGGCTGGTCTTAAATGTGAAACTGAGGGCTTCCTTTTGCTGCTCAGGACCAGTCACTTCCCACTCGCAATCGCCTAAATGTGATTCTTAAAGAAAACATCAATATGAAATGTCGACTTTGCAATGAATTCACAGAGACTGTCCAACACCTTGTCAGTGGATGCCCTTCCTTGGCACAAACAGCATATCTTAAACGACATGATGGCATGGCTCGTTGCTTTTACTACCGTCTCCGCCATGCCTGTGGCTTTGACTCCCGAGGTCCATCCATGGTACGACCCTGAACATGTCCAGGGCGTCATGGAAAATGATGCTTTCAAACTTCTGTGGAATAGGCCCATATACAGCCTCAGAAGAATTCCTGCCAACAAACCTGATCTTGTCCTTTTTTGATAAAGCCAATGAATTTATTTATGTCATTGAATTTTCTGTCCCTTTTGACAGGAATGTGATTGACAAGATTAAGGAAAAGCATGATAAATATGCGGACCTCGCCTTTGAAATGTCTCGCTTGCATCCTAAGTACACTGTCGTCAGGCTCCCCATTGTTCTCGGTGCCCTTGGTTTGGTACCTCCTGATCTCTTGGCGCAGATCAGGAGAGTGCCCGGGTTCTCCACCGGGAGTACAGCCCTTCTGACACTCTGGGTAATGCAGAAGGCTGCAGTGTTGGGGAGCCTTCATATTCTCCGGAAAGTTCTTGGTGGGTTCGACTAGGCAGCGTTTCCTGGGAGAAGTCCCATTCGCTGTCTGGGCTGCGTGTAGAGGGGGCAAGGGCCCTGAGCTGATGATGAGCCTTACCAGCCTGACTGTGCCAGGATCACCCGAACCCTCTCTGCTGCATACAATCTTTAATCTGTAAAACATAATAATAATAATACATTATATCTGTCGAAAAACATAAACGCAATGTTTCCACCAGTGATGTTAGCCGAATGAAGCAACTGGAAACCAAGAAACGAGGTGCAACGGAGTAGTTTACTGTAGGAGGCTGTACGAGGCGATGACAACTGACATGCATCGTGACGTCGGTTACCATGGCAGTGACGTCATTAGTGTGACGTCATGCAAATATTGTACTACAGTACAAAACTCTTCCGCAACCTCTTTATGAAACCGGTTTCGGTTTGAAACCAAAAACATAACAAAAATACGCTATTTTGTCAATTTAAATGCATGTAAGACGTGGGTAATAAATAAAATACCACACTCGGTCTCATTACATACGAATTATACGAAACTTGATTCCTATAGCCATCGACCTCGCTTTCGCTCGGTCAGATACCATAGGAAGGACACTCGTTTCATATAATTCGTATGTAATGAGACCTCGTGTAGTATTCTCTATATATGACACCAGGTGTTTGTGAAACGGGTAAACATGTTTTGCTTTACATTAACAAGTTGTTTGGGATAGCATTTAAGCCGTGTTAACAGTTGATGGTCACATGCAGAACAACCGAGCGCTTCACGTGTCCAGTTCATGCAGAACAACAGCAGGATATATTGAGTGAGTGAGTGAGGTGAACTGTCTGGAAAGTCACAACAGAAAAGCACCAACAGAGGTCAAAGAAGAATCACAGCTTGGCGTATTTCTTTAGAGGAAATTTACCACGAATATATTAACGTCAGCACCAGAGAAAATCAACCGCGATTTCTTATAAATCACTTTGAAACTTTCCATTAGTCCAGTAATGTTAAAAGTTTGATAGGAATGTTTAAAAAGAGATTTATGAATCTGGAAAAAATAAGATGATTACATTTTTTAATTTCACAGAAAGACAGATGTGAGTTGTGCATCTGCCGTATGTGCCTTCAACAACATGAAAGTCACAACATGTAATCAATGTATTGACAAACCGCAGACATGCTAGTATACAAACATGTCGTTTTAATGAGTCCATCAAACTATCATTTGTCTTTTTATGAAAATAATCCAAAAATATATATTTTGAAAGGACGATTGAAGTCAGCAAATAAGACAAGTGAAAAATAACATTTCGCCATTTTAGAACTCATTACAGAGAGTAATTGAACTATTTACCGAGAGTAAACACTTGTGTCAATATAAATAAATGTATTTTTCTCTGTGAAGGACAGCCTGCGTCGTAATAATGTCTAAGCTCTTATCTTCAATACTCATCACGCACCGGCTGAATCGTTATGTCAATATGACGTAGGTTGTAGCCATATTTGACATTCGGGAAGAGAAAGGCGTTCAAATCTGCTTGTTTCGTGGACAGCGGGTGTTTGACGTAGTGGTGGTAGTCGCCCACCCCCCTCGGCGACGTATATGTATAGTCGTTGAGACTCATCCGTCTGGAAAGCCTGGAAATAAGAATAATCAGTTAGTGTACCCCCTTTTTCAGCAAATGGCCCAATCAGAAAAATAATATATGTTTTTAACAACATAATTATTTAACCTTCGTTGAGTGGCATTTTAGAAGTTGGGGAGTACAATAATTACACATTTATGGCTATCAACTTCTATTAATTTAGGGGCGGTGGGGTAGTCCAGTGGTTAAAGCGTTGGCTCGTCACGCCGAAGACCCGGGTTCGAATCCCCACATGGGTACAATGAGTGATGCCCATTTCTGGTGTTCCCCGCCGTGATATTGCTGGAATATTGCTAAAAGCGACGTAAAACCAAACTCAGTCAGTTAGTTCTATTATTTTTGTGAGTTTCGGTAGAGATTCCAGCTGGACAACGGTACAAGAATCTCTACAGCAACGTCGCACAACAAAAATAAATGAAGTTGTCATCCATAAATTTGTCAGTATTGTATTATTGAACCGTTGTATTGATTGCCTACTTACAGTGATTACTTTAAGCTTATATATCTTTAAAAATAGTGTTTCATGTTTCAGTAGGGATCTGTTATTGTTCGGTTGTACATCAAGTGTGTGATTGTTTCTTATCATATTACATTAACCCGTCAGTACCATGTCTAGCGATACCGACATTCAGAGACTGTAATCATGTAGTGGTTCGAACCCAAGGCTGTCTGGATTTACGATGATCGCAAGCATATGTCAAAGTATTGGAATTACGATCACCTGAGAGTAAGATCGCTTCGTAGAACGGGCTCTGTCCTTAGTTGACGTCACGGGCTTACGGTTGAACGACTATTCTACCACACCGCCCCTTATTAAGAAATCAGGTTGGCATAACAGTACCTACACAGCATTAACGGGATCATGTAATATGCAAAAACCTGTTTTAATTAGTGTTAGTTTCCTCTTAATGTTCAACACAATACGGACCTACCGATGCCAAGTGTTGAGCGATGACACACACTACAGTTGCCGACGTCGTGTTGCCGCACACGTTGGCGTTCGAACCAAGAGCCGAGAACGTCTTTTCCATGACAAGTGACTGCAACAGACGCTTAAAGTGTGAATTTGTACAGTCCATCAATAAAACGTTTCGATTTTTTCCCCTCAAAACAAAGACCTGGGGACATCCCATTACGGGTCACGACATTTCGCGAACTTTGACCAACCCATGACATGACTACAAGAAGTCATTAGCCAGTCAGAAAGAGGTATACAGCATTAGGTTTAAACTGGGGAATTCCATTCCAGGGTAAGGTTTGAAAATAGTCAAGGTTTCAAAAGAAAACAATTGAATGTTTAAATGAAGGTTTCAAGGTTTCAAAAGAAAACAATTGAATGTTTAAATGATAGCCATGATTGAATGGCAGTACTTCCAAGGACACGCCAGGTCAGCTTCTTTCAAATGTTCAGCTGAAGTGAAGGACAGAAGAGGATTTTGACAGATTTTGTCGATCAGGACACCTTGTGTTAACCTTTTCGAGGTTACAAGACTAGAAAACACAATTCGATTGCCACTTTCCCGATCCGATAGATCCAATGGTAGACGAGAGGTCGTTCTGGCCTTTAATGGTGTGTCCTGATGAGATTGGTATTAGGGCTGCGCAATATAACCGGTTTACCGGTATTTGCCGGTTCAGACATGAAAACGATACGTATTGCGATACGCTGGTTGAAAACCGGTATTTTGACTTGCATTCGGAAAACTTCGTAACACTCGGATATCTTCGGATATTTCCTTGTTTCATGTGTGCCAAATATTCTTCACATTTTTATTTTATCATGATTAAAAGTTGTTATTAAAGCTTAATCAAGCATAGTGATTTTGTTGTGTTTTTGCTCTATAAATCAAGCATTAACTCGCTTATAAGTAGTATTTTGTTTAAAAATACGTCAGGCAATATATTGCAATACATATCGCAATACATGCTTTCGCATCGCAATATATTGCAATATGAAAATTCTGTGCAATACCCACCCCTAATTGGCATATACAAGTATATTAAAGATGATTATAGGCGTATACCTCAACTGTCGTATTGACGTCATGGTCGTATGTGGAGAATCCCGGGGATATGATGGCCATATTTTCCAGATCACGAGACACTTTCTCCAGCCCGTGGATCTCCACTGTTTGTGTGATGACCAACCAGAACGACCGGTGGCGGAAGTCCGTGGTTCTTGGGAACATAGCGTCGTAACCGTTTATCTGAAATAGTGTGAACAATTGTGTTCGTTGTGGTAGATACAACACTAAGCGTATTTCTTTTATAAGACGCCGGTCCTCCCATACAATCCCAGCTTCTGGGTCATACGTCTGTCACATCATTATTCCTATAGGGGTCATACGTCTGTCACACGTGGAATCTCTAATAGGCCACGTCCATTTTTGATGATCTTTATTATTCCTATAACATTACCTTACGGCCTGTTTGTACGTGTTCATTGTTTAACGCCGTACTCTGCCGTTTACCAGCCACCTGATGGCGGTCTGCATATAGTCGAGTCTGGACCAGACGATCTGGTATTTGTCTCCTAGATCATTTAACATGACCGTTTTCTCAATGTAACATTTATAGGGCGTAAAAAATTGGGTCTGTAAAACAAAGTGCGCAACCTCTTAGACCAGGAGTATACAGAACAGACGCCCGGTCAAAGGCTTGTGCGAAACTAGCATCGTCAGTAGAGGAATTACGGTAATCTAATTCAGAAGTTTGAGAGTGAGGGTTCTCATTAAAAGATGTGATGAGATGTACAGATTCACCCGAAAGTAATGAATATGCACAATTGTCATCTCAATAAAGTAGAAACCATATACATGTATACTCATGCCAATAATGGTTGTTACCCCTCCCACCCCAACCCCCACACCCACCCCATCTCCAATTACAAAAAAATGAAGGGGGTGACAACCATTATTGGCATGAGTATATTTCATCTTTATCTGTTTATGTGTTCAATGGTTCACTGTTGTTCGTTGCGAAAGTTGACTTTTTCACAGTGGGAAGACAAAGTACTGGATTATATCGGCAATTTGTGTGCGATAAGGATATTTAGAGTGTTATCCAATAATTTCGCCATGTATTCTTTGAGTGTACTGATCAAATATTTTGCCATGCGAGGCAGTCACGTATGAAACACAATGTCATAACTCACAATGTCACGCTGTCACAATGTGACATCTCCTACCTCTTCCATATATTCTCGAAGTGTAGATTCTGACCCCAACAGTATTCCATATATTCCCTTAACATAGGTCATGTTGTGTATGCGCGCAAGCTCCGAGCGCCATCTAGTGGGAGGTGGCAGGGCTTCAGTGCTGTACATCATCAGCTTCAGATCCTTTCTATAAGGCATATGCTTCTCCAGGAATTGGCCAAGAAATCTTCCTGCTGTGCGAATAATTAAGAAAACCACTATTGAAGACTATTTCACTATTGATTAATAAGCACAGATGAGCCAAGAAGTTGTTAGGTAACATTTAAAGTAATTTGCATCAATACTTGAATATTGTATCAATACTTGAACTTTCCAGTATTGTTGATTTGGCGATGTAATAATTAGGACTTTTTTCCATGTGCACTGAATACATCATTTTTGCGTTGCATAACATACGAAAAGTCATTGGACATCGAAATTAATTGGACATCTTGTACATAGAAACGTATTGAAACTGGCGGACGGGATCAATAGCTGCAATTGTCCCTGTCATCACAAAAAATGAGATCTCAGATTAGGAGCCTCATGGTTTGGTGCGTTCTCCTACAATTCTTTGTACATGTGAGAATGTTGTAACCGTTTGTGCGAGTGAGTGAGTGAGTTAATATTCCAGCTATATGACGGGGGTCTGTACATAATCGAATCAATTGGGTACCGATGACATGTGTCAACCAAGTCAGCGAGCCTGACCACCCGATCCTGTTAGTCACCTCTTACGACAAGCATTGGTTACTGAAGGCCAATATTCTAACCCGTACCTTCACAGGTCCGTTTGTGCGAACCTTATCATGCACATACAATAATCCTAATACGTATCAATAAGTATTTTAAATGATAATTTGGCGAATGTAAATACTCATCAATGCTAACATTTATGCTCTTTATCAAGAATTCTAATACACCTGAAGGACAGTGTTATCTTGTCGCTTGCAGAAATACCAATCCGTATTTTCCTTATATGACCAGTTAACTTGCTGAAGACATACCCATTCTTTATAGGCTACCCGTATTTTCCGTATAGAGGCCAATTCACATGCAAAAATACATATCAGTATTTTCCTCATACAGACCCATTCACTTGCGAAAATACATATTAGTATATTCCTCGTATAGACCCATTCATTTGCAAAAATGGCTACTGGTATTTTCCTCATACAGACCCATATACTTGCAAAATGGCTACTGGTATATTCCTCGTACAGACCCATTTACTTGCAAAATGGCTACTGGTATTTTCCTCATACAGACCCATTCACTTGCAAAAATAGCTACTGGTATTTTTCTCACACAGAACCATTCACTTGCAAAAAAGGCTACTACTATTTTCCTCGTACAGACCAATTCACTTGCAAAAATAGCTACTGGTATTTTTCTCACACAGAACCATTCACTTGCAAAAAAGACTACTACTATTTTCCTCGTACAGACCACTTCACTTGCAAAATACCTACCCGTAATTTCCTCCAAGAGAATAGTTCATGTGCAAACATGCCTCCCCCTATATTCCTCATACAGATCAAGTCACTTGCAAGAATACCTACCCGTATTCTCCTCGTAAAGAATCAGCAGGGTGTTCTGTGGTACGTTGCTTGTGTACGACGCCATGAAATCCCATGCGTCTTGAAACGTCGACTGCGGCAACCACGTGGATGAGGTTGTTGAGTCATGACGGTGCTGACTAGGACAGGGAAGCGTCATGATGTTGTCCATGACGCCAAGTGTCTCCCAAAAGCGTGGAGGTGAGCACGTTGTCGATGACGGCCCTATGAGGATGAGATCAGCTGGTGGGTCGTTATTCCGGAGGGCGTTTACTGTGGTTATAACAGAGGTACAAATATATTGGAGAAACTATATCCATACGTTAATGGTAGTAAGGGCATGCATAATGTCTAGATTACAAGATAAATCTCCACATACAGTAATATGTAAATTTAATTCATGTAAAATGTAGTAGAACCATATAGATGCTACATGTACTAAATATATTTAAATGTTCAATATGAACTAATTATAATCAAAGTTTCTACGTAATGAAAATATGTCACACATAGACAATGAATTAATGATAGGTTTGTTGAATTCCAACAATGAAGATGCTATTATTAGCAATGCACAATAACATGTATTTACACAAAAATGAACATATATTTTGCTATGACTTCTTTAATTGGCATTCTAGTAGTTTGTTTAAGGAGATCATGTACATGTTAAAACTGAACTGTGCTGTTGTACACATGACCTTATTGGATAATCTGCCTGTTCCTCCGACTGATAAGGACAGATAGCGTTTCGTTTGGAAGAGATTCAAGTATTATGATCGACAGTTGTGTAAGGTTGGCATTATGGGATGGTGATGATGGTGGTGATGGTGGTGATGATGATGATGATGATAGTAATGATGGTAATGGGTCTGTAATGTATGATTGTACGATTAACCTCATAATGTCACGTTAATATACTCATCAACAAAAGAGATGAGATAGGCACTGTAATCAAATCATTACAGAAATTGACATAATAAGCGGATCAAAAACATCTTTTGTGTACAACATCTTGACACATCAATGAATACCTCAGCACAATTTCAAGACATTACGTGAACGTTTGTAGTCCATTCAGACTCTAGTGTGACCACCACGAGCGGCAATAAGTACAGCACAGCGTCTATGCATGGGGTGCACCAATTGATTGATGAAGGCCATTGGCACCTGGAACCTCACTCTGAGAAAGGCCTGACGCAATAAATCGGCTGTGTTCGGCCTTGCTATGACCTTTTTCAGTCTCCTCTGAATTTCATACCAA